TGTATGAGTGCACAAAGCCAAATATTTTCCTTGCCTATAACAGAATCACATCAAATGGATCAGCTCAGGGTAAGGATAACTTTATTATTTTGTCATTCTCTACCATTCAAGTTTCAATTGATGTAAAAACCATACTCAAAAATTACATGGAACTTTAAATGCAATTAAAAATGCACTCAGACCACCAGTGTTTTGTTTTACTAGTATCTAGTCATAGTAATATTAAAAAATACACCGAGAAATAATACAAATATTAAAAAATTTACAAGCTGCCACATATGCATTTGTCTGATTTTAGGATTCTTCATTCTTACCATGGACTTTGAGGTTGTATTTTTTTTCTGTGGTTCCAGCCTCATTCATCGCCACACAGATGTATTCCCCATTGTCATGTGGTGTAACAGAAGCAATGACAAACAGTGTGCCATTTTCCAAGACAGATATACCAGGCTCTCTGCCTGTCAACTCTCTACCATTGCGTAACCATTTGATGGTTGGTTTAGGAGTACCTAAATAAGAAATCAACACCTTTTTAAGCAACAAGATTAGAAATCATCATTAAATATCAAGTTCATCATGGCCAGATACAATTTTTCTGGACTATAATTTGTACCCTTAGATACTATACTACTTTTAAAATACTTCTCCAGACATGGAAATATGAGAAGATTATGGTCCTTTTGCTTATGATTTGGAATCAGTCTTGAGATCTACACTTTGTACTTTAAAGTTTTCTCAAAGTTGTTTTTATCAATACATTCGGATGAGAATGAGCAAAGGATTTTCGTGTTGTCTTCACAGTGGTAGATTTAAAGAAAAACTATTTCATCAGATTGATGTAGGGAGAGTTTGGGAGTAAAATAAAGCGAGTAAAAACATGATACTGTCACAGGAATGTATTGCAAAGATTTCCAAATCAATTAGATTGCATAAAGGATATACAGAAGTTATGTTTCATAATTCACTGTATAAACATGCCTGATACAATACACATAAAAACCTCTACTACAATGTTTATATTCTGGAGATATCATCTGTCAAATAAAAGATAATAACTTAATTTTTGAAAAATAAGTGAAGATGGCTGAGACCTTTAATCCTATCTATTCAGAAGGCTGAGATATGGGGATCCTGGTTCAAGACCAGCTCAGGCAGGCAGACAAGTCTGAGATATATTCATCTTCAATTGACCAGCAAGAAGGCAGAACTGGAGGCATAGCTTAAATAGGAGAGCAGAAAGTCAGCCAGAAGCAAAAAATGTTGAGTGAGAGCTTGAAATCCTGAGTTTAAGCACCCATACCAGCACCCATACCAAGAAGGGAAGGAAAGAGGGAGGGAAGAAGTGAGGGGATTATATGACAGATGTATTCACAGGTAAAGATGACAAGTCTATACTGAAGTATACAGCTAAGCTAAAAACAAAGCTAGAAATAAATACTAACTTGATGCTAATGATGTATTTATTTTCCCAACAATGTACTAGGAACTATTCTAAGCACTTTAAAATATTGCTTAATTCTTAAAGGTAAATTAAAACCTTACATAAAACTAATTTTGTTTCATAAAACAGTATATATCTTAGGTTAAAATATAATATATTAATGGATGAACATATAATCTAGACTAAAACAACAAAAAGTGGCAGGAACACATTGAATGTCTCCTGGAAGCTACAGTCAAGTTGAGTTAACATCTGATCAATGTTGAGTATGTAAATCATATTTATGGATCCATTTTAATGTGCTCAGGGATGAGGAAAGGAATTTAAAAGGGATAGATACTTTTCCTGTCCATGATATGAAGGAAAAAAAGAAGTGTAATAATTTCCTTTCATCCCACCCATTCTTTTTATACACTTCTACACACTTTCATTAAAATTTAGACAGCAAACATAATATTTTAGACTTAAGATTTTATTAATATTTAGAGTAATACCTGCAAATGAATCAACCAAAGAAAGTAGCATAACTATAATCAAAATGGAATTCACTGCAAAAGACAGGGATACATTCTCTGGCACCAATGGGTCATATCTGTAACCCTTAGCAACTCAGGAGACTGAGATCCGAGGACTATGGGTTAATGTTAGCTAAGAGAGACAAATAAGAGACACTCTTATTTCTAATCAACCAGCAAAAAGCCAGAAGTGGAGGTATGACTCAAGTGGTAGAGTTCCAGGCTTGAGCAGAAGAGCTAAGCCTGGAGGAGGCCTGGAGTTCAAACGTTACTACCTTTACACAGATGCACATGTGTAGATGCTCACGTGCACATGCACACATGCACGCACGCATGCGCATGCACACACATACACACACACACACACACACACACACACAAAAGGATTAAGTTATCGCAATACTTTGAACTTAATTACATTCTAGATGAAGATGAGGAACTAAGAAGAGATTGTTTTGATTTGTTTGTGTGTACCAGTCCTGGGGCTTTAACTCAGAGCCTGAGTTTTGTCCCTGAGCCTCTCTATGCTCAAGACTAGCACTCTACCACTTGAACCACAGCACCACTTCCAGCTTTTCGGAGTAGTTTATTGGAGATAAGAGTCTCATGGACTTTCTTCTTGGCCTGGCTTCAAACTGCAATCCTCAGATCTCATCCTCCCGAATAGCTAGGATTACAGGTGTGAACCACTGGCACCCAGCTTGTTTTGATTTTTTTTTTGAAGTAGAAAAGGGAAAGCAAAATAGGAATTCAGCTTGAGAGTGAAGCCTCAGGTAGTTAGAAGCAAGGACAATAGTGTTAAGGTAGACAGAGCCCAGGGAACTGAGGGCCTTCAGCACCTTCTTAGACTCATACTGCCCTAACTTTCACTGGCTTTAAGAATAGTAACTCAGGCAGTGATGCTGAGGTTCAAATGGTAGAGTGCTAGCCTTGAACAAAAGAAGCTCAGGGGTGCCCAGGCCCTGAGTTCAAGCCCCAGGACTGGCAAAAAAAAAAAAAAGAATAGTAACTCATAACTTTGTAGAGGTCTAAAAAGTTCTTTAAAGTTAGGTTCCTTTTAATGTTTATTGGAAGTAATCATTGCAGTTTGGTACTGTAGAGAGATGCAAACTCTTGCTACAGAAGGTAAAAGCACCAGAAGGGTGTTGGATTGCTGCTGTCTTCAGGAACAATCACTGAACAACGTGCAGGGGTGGGGAGGTGTCTGCCACCTGCAACCCTCCAGGAGTTATGCACAGAACACTGGCTGTGCATTGCCAAACTACAAATCCAGCTTGACTTACTGTGGATGAATGCATTCATGGAGAAAACATGTCCTTCATCTTATATTTGGCATGCCAAGGAAGGATGACACAGACAGTGCCTCTTCCGTGTCCACTTGAGGAGAGAGAACAATTTCTGGACAGGAAAGTGGTAGAATAGAAAGCCCAGAACCATGGGCATGAAAAACATCCCCAAGAGTCAAGTTCCAGAATAAACAGTTGAGAGTAGACTAGTTTCAGAATAAACAGTTGAGAGTAGACTAGAAAAAGAGCTTTTATTTATGTTTTTAAAGTAACTATAACAAATAAGTGCCTAATTCTAATTGATACCTCTGACTAATTGAGATAAAGCTGGAATATTTTTGAATAACTCTGTAACATCTTAAAAAGAACGTGTCAAACAGAATGAAATAAGTAGCAGGAAGAACATGACATTCATATCAGATTAGGTACATTTAAGAGCTCTCTATTGAAAGAAATAAAATGCCTTGGAGGGAGAAAGCATTTATTCAAAGAGTTGATGTTTAAGTCAAGCATGGTGGCTCAAGTCTGGAATCCTTGCTACATTGGTGGCAGACATTAGGGAGATTGTGGTTCTACGCCAGACCACAGAAAATTAGTTCTCAAGATTCCATCTCAATCAAAGACTGAGCAAAGTGGTATATACTTATCTCAGCTACCAAGGAAGCATAATGGCTGGACGTCCTGGTGCATGCATGCTCCCCAGTGATGCAGGCAGAAAAGTATAAGAAGGATGCCCATGTCAGCCAGGGCATAAAGTGAGATTCTACCTCAAAATAATCAGTGGGAAAAGTGATTGGAAGCATGGCTCAAGTGGCAAATATGAGGCTCTGGGTTTAAGCCCTAATACCACCACCTAAAAAAGAAGTGGTATTGCTTGAAAGAAGGGAGAATTTCCATTATGCTCAACTTGTCTAACTGGGATTGACAAATGGAATTTTATCCAGATAATTTTTGGGGTTGCAATGAAGACATTTAGAATAATCAAACATTGCATCAAGGCCTTTACTTCCAAGGATTACTTACCTTTCACAGGACAGGGAAATGTGATTCGTTCATTAGCCAGTCTTTCTTGGAATGGAGTGTCAAAAGGAGGTGCTAGATCTTCCATTGTAGGTGGCTCTATTACAAAAATAAATGCATTACCACAGATGATCCTTAGACAATTAAAATTCTGCTTGCTGAGGCATCATCGATCACTTTCATTGTCAAGTTGGTCAGCCTCACCATATATATTTCTTATGTCATAAAATCACCTTGAACATGTAGCGTTATGTCTGCCTCATCACGGCCTGCTATGTTAGTAGCAGCACACGTATACACGCCTGCATCTGAAAGCATGGCCTGGTCAATGCTTAAAGTTCCATCTGGATTGCTGACACGCTGCCCTCCATCAACCAGCACCGTCCTTCCACCTTTAAGCCAGGTGATCACAGGAGGCGGTGACCCTTGGGTACTACAGGGTATGTCCACTCTTTGGCCGACTTGGATTTTTATATATTTAGGACCACGCTGTATCTTCGGAGGAACTGGAATCGATAATTGAGGGTTAATAACTTGACGTTCAGAATTATTCCAAAATAATTACAGTTATGTGAATGATCTGGAAACTAATATCATGTCTCTGCTCTCCTGTTATTCTCTCTCTTAATTGTACTCAGATATATGCTGTTGTTTTAATTATTGAATATTGTTTGCTTTTTACTCAATAAACAAATACACTATCACAATAAAAAAAATAATTCGACTTTCAAAATTCCTTTGTTCTCTCATTTTGCATGAAAAAGTGGAGCAACCTTCAGATTGTGTCCTTTACTAGCTGTATTAGTTAGAGTACACTTCCTGAGGCAAAATGAACTCAAGACACTAGTACACTGCAAAAATGTATAGAATAGATATAAAGCTCCTAGTTCCAAATTTGAGGAATAATAGCAAGTGTGTAAAGCTGCTAAGTTGCTTTAAATTTACAAATAACATTTTAAAGGCCTGTAAAATGACACTTCATATAATTTGTATAGCATAAGAAAATAAAACAAAAAACATTTCTCTCCCTGTACTCACATTTGGTTCTCTTTGTGGAAGACTTACACAGCAAAAAGAGCATTTATAAAGCCTCTTGCTTTATACGAAGAAAATCATTCAAAGTCTGCCAATTTTTCCTTTTCTACTTTAACAATAAGGTAGTTTGACAAAACACTTGAAAAGATTCTTAGTTTTTGCATACATATACTGCACATGTACAGTCAAATTGAAGCACAAGGGAAAGATTACAATTTATGTAATCAACAACTTTAAAAGCCTGACTCTTTGTCCTTTTTTCTTTAACTTAATATTTACTGGATCCTTTCTAAAAGTTGACACTCACAATAATCTCATACCTGACTGTGACTATGATACTGTGACTACATTTTATGAAAGTGAAAACTAAAGATAGGAACAGCTAAGTGGTCTGCTTAATTCACAGAACTGGTAAACGACAGAAATGGAATCTTATGTCAAACCCTGAGATGAATATAATACAATTATGGTGATCAATCTGAAAGTCAAACCAGATCAATTCTGTCTGAGAAGGTATCTTTTGATATTGGATCTCTGACATCTACAGGTACTCAAGGAATGAATGGATGGATGGATGGATGAATGAATGAATGATTAGAAAGGGATGTGATAAGTTTAAGAAATAAAGCACACTAACTAGAGAGTTAGGGAGTTAGGGTTTTTTTTCTCTTCAGAGCTCTTTAAAAACTATAAAATTAGTACTTGGGAATCCAAGCTAATTTCAAACACATTTATTTTCTGATGGATATCTACAGTAATAATAATGATTGTGGATATTGAGAGAAACTTGGATCCAAAAATTGAAAAAGGAGATTTGTAAAAGGAAAAAAGAGGGTGATGTTATTTATAAATAGCAGATAAAAATTTCAGAGTAAATAAAAACAATCATAAATTGCCTATTTGAGAAGACTTTGTCATAATCACTGCATCTACAACATGGAGACTAATAATTAATAAACAAGGATTGTAGGTTTCCCTGTGGTCAGTCCACAGAGCCAGCCTGGCCCCTCAATTTAATACTCACCATGGACACTTAATTTAACAGTTTGAGTCACGTTGCCAGCAATGTTTGTAGCCACACAAAGATATAGACCACTGTCTGAAATGCGGGTTTCAGTGATCTTCATTGAACCAGAAGGGAGGAACGTGTGTCTAAAAGAAAACCCCATATATCAAACCACAGAATGTGAGCATTCAAACACCCTTATGCAGCTGCACTTTACTGTGCAAGTACTACTCAGAGAATGGTTTTTTCCATTTTTATATGATAGAACTGTGTCTTCCCCTTGTGAGGCAAGTGCTCTACCACTTGATCCATGTCTCTAGCCCCATTTGGGTTGATTATTTTAGAGGTAATCTCTTGAGTTTGCTGAGGTCTGCCTAGGCGATAATCTTCCTACTTGTGTTTTCCTGGGTCTCTGGGGTTGACACGCACATGTTTTCTCCACAGTCAGGATAACAGGCATGGAACAATGTGCCCAGCCATTGGTTGAGATGGGAGTCTCAGAAACTATGAACTCCTAGCTGGCCACAAACTGTGATTCCTCAGTCTCTACCTCCCAAGTAGTTAGGATTGAAGGCTTGAATCATCGTGGCTTCCATGTGAGTTTTGGAACTATCTTCCTACGTGTCATGCACTGTAAAATTGTGAATTTTCGTAATTATCTTGTGGATTCTAGTTGATATTCTTATAAACACAAACTCAGTTTACTTTTACCTTTGATTTTAAACGGTCTCAAATCACAAATAATTGTGCATCTCTACGCTTTAATAAGTTACAACTATATAAAGCAAATATATATCTTAGTCATTTTAAACTTAGTTTTGAAGATTTTATTTTTTATACCACTTCGTAAAACATTTAGTGTAATTTAATAAAAACAAAGTGCATATATTTCAAATCTATTTTAATATATTTCTCCTATGAACTAATAACATAGTAGGAGAACCCAAACTACACATAAAATGTTATTAAATTGTATTAAGATACTTGGAAATGGGATGCAGAGGATACAAAGATCTGTATATTACCAAAATTTTAAGTTAAACAAAGAGTGCTATTAATCCAGAAAGACAGAAATGGATAGAGAGCTCCAAATATACCTACTTCTATATGAGATTCAACATGCATCAGTATTAGAGATAACATTTAAAAATGTAAGAAAATGCAATTTGGCAATTGGATTTCTAAATAGGATAAATAAGTAAAGAAATAAGAGCATTACCTAAAACTACATGTGACAAAACAAACAAATTAAAGTTCATGAAAACAAAACTTAAAAAATGTGGATAAAACATTAGAGTTTATGATTATATCTTCCAAGAAGATATGAAAATTAGAAATCTATAAAAATGAATTAATACACTGAGCTCCTATAAATCTACAAGTACTCACACTGCATAATGAAAGACAAAAAATGCCAGCACATGATAAATTATATAGGTCTCTAGATATTCACATAGTAAGACCAAAGGAGGATATTCTTAGGAGAGGATCACAAAGGCTCAATAGCTATGTGGATTGATCATATAAAATAGTATTTATTGAAATGAACCCCAAGAAATGGAAACAAGAGGTTATTTTTCTCTGTTGTTTTTGTTTTCTGTACTCTTTGCCTTGTTTTAGGGAGGGTCAGGTGGGGGACACAGAAAGAGTGTGTCAAAGGGTGAACAAATGCAGCCGTGATACTAGACACTAGGCTGGAAATGAACTATACAACTTGTGAGTGGGGACAGGAGGGAATAATTTGTGGGAAGGGACAGGAGGGAAGCAGTGAGGGAAGGGGTGACACTATTCAAAAAGAAATGTGCTCATTACCTGACATGTAATTCTAACCCCTCTGTACATCACATATAAAATAACAATAAATAAATAAAAAAACGAAAAAATTAAAACTCCAAAACAAAAGAACCCGGGCCCAAAAAAATGGAAAATCCCAACAAAAATTTTAATGCAAAAAGTACACAGAATATTGTTATTAAGAATACATACCAACTTTCTATATTCACTGAAAAAAAGGACATTACCAGAGAACTGTGCAGCCAACTTACAGAGGCATTTTTTAGATCACATAAATGACCAATGAGCAGGTCCAAGTATTGCCAACACACATGAAATCAGTCCAGTGACAATGAAAACAATTACAGGATCCCAATTCCCACCCAGCAAGTGCCATTGAAGTCAGTCAATGCCATGAGTTCCTAGGAAGTGCCAGCTGATCCACTGATATTTTATTGGGGGAAGGTAAGCCACAGCTGTCCCTTTAGAGAGCAATTTAGCAATGTCTACAAGGCTGGGAAAGGACTTTACTCTGACCTGAGATTATAGTTTTAAATATATATCCTGAAGAAGTTCATGTGAGTGTATATAAAGAGATATCTTTTTTTAAAAACCCCATACTCATTGATAAGGTTTGGTGAAAGAAAAATTATGAGAAAGAATAAACCAATCATAGTACTCAAATGTAGGGAAATAGATAACTTTAGCCCATGTTTATACTAGTTTTAATAAACTGAATCTAATTGTGAATAAATGTTCATATAATAAAGTGAGTAGTAAAATATCGTTACTATATTCTATAATGACAAACAAAAAAGAAACATAAAACAAAATTAGAAACACAAAATCAGTTTTCCATGGTATTTAAAAATGGAAGGCAATTTTTGCTCCCAAGAAGGCTAAAAAATTCAGATTGGTTAAAGGAACAATAGAATTTTAATGTTATTATTAATAATTAATTTATTCTTATTCAAAATTTTCTATAATGCTGGAGGGGATGTGGCCAAAAGAGAACCCTACTACATTGTTGGTGGGAATGTAAACTTGTTCAACCACTCTGGAAAGCAGTAAGGAAGTTCCTCAAAAGACTACACATACAGCTCCCCTATACCCAGCAATCCCACTTTTAGGCATTTACCCAAATGATCACAAACAAGGCCATACTAAAGCTACCAGCACAACTATGCTTATGACAGCATTTTTCACCATAGCTAAGATATGGAACCAACCCAGATGTCCCTGAGTAGATGAATGCATCAAGAAAATGTGGTATATATACAATGGAATTCTATGACTCCATCATAAAGAATAACATTACCCCATATGTTAGGAAATAGAAAGACTTGGAAAAAATATTAAGTGAAGTAAGCCAGGCCCAAAGAAACATAGGTCTCATGGTTTCCCTTGTCTGCAATAACTAGTATATGTCTGAGAAAAGCAGAAGAGATCAAAAGGTATGTATATATGATCATATAACCTGATGTTAAGTGAAATGAGCCCTAAGATAGGGACACAAGAGGTTTTATCTTTGTTGCTGTTCTTTTTAATGCACTTATAATGCACTATGTGATTTTTTTTGTTTCTTTGTATGTTCTTCCCTCATGGTATAACCCCTGTAGTCACTGTATTTGATTCCAGTGTCCTGCATCTTGTATATACATTGTTGTAATTTGGGGAGAGGAAGGGAAATAACAAAATGCTGAAATAAGGATACAGGATGACCCATTGTAATAATGAGATGTACAAGACACTACGTTGAAAACGAACTTTACAACTTTGTGGGGAGGGTGGAGGGCAAGGGGTAAAGGAAGGACAGGAGGGAGGAGTTGGGAGTTGGGGAGGGGGTAACAATGCTCAATAGGAAGTGGACTTACTATCTTGCTCATGTAACTGTAACCCCTCTGTACAGTATCTTTATAATAAAAATATGAATTAAGAAAGAAGAATAAACACTTTCTATAAAAGTATTTTTTCAAAGAAATAGTAAAATCATGCAAATCCTTGTTATTTTATCCTCACCAGTGGTAGAGAACCAGCACTAACATGGTTATATATCCTCATAATCACATAGCAATGAGTCACTGATAGCTAGAGGCATTCTGCATTTATTTCTTTTCTTTGTCTTCCTCTTTATTTTCTAAAGTGGTACCAGGGCTTTGACTCAGGGCCTTATGCTTGTTCAGCTTGCTTGCTAGGCTGACACTTGACCTTCCAGAGTTGCTGACATGCCTCCAGCCCAGCTTTTTCCTGATTAATTGGAGTCTCATGGCCTTTTCTGTTGAGCTGTCTTTGAACTGTGATCTTCCAGATCTCTGCTTTGTGAGTAACTAGGATTGCAGGCATACGCTACCAGTACCTGGTTAGAGACTGCAATTTTTATTTTACCAGTTATGTTTGGCCTGATGTTGAGTTTAAAAAGAAATTGGGAGTAGAGACGGAGATGTGAAATGTAGAATATAATCTAAAATCCTCTGAAATAAGTAGCAATCTCATTGTACAAACAAATACTCTATAGAGAGGTCCCTTAAAGAATTTTCCAAACATTCAGGTAAGCATTAGACAGAGAGCAGTTTCAACTCAGATATAGATGGCAAGAAAGTTTATGTTCTTAAAACTCTGACATTCTTCTTGCTATGTCCCCTATCCAATACATTATATCACCTCAGTGGCTCTTTATTTGTATAAGGGTTTAATTAAGAAGACTTACAAACCATCTCATGAAAATTAAGTCGTAGACATTACAGTGCTTATTGAGTTTTGTTGCTCTCCCGAGAGTCACAGAATTCTGTGTGCTACACAGGGGGCTCATAGAAATCCGCATACCAATCTGCTCTATTTTAATAACGACATTGTAAAATGCACCAGTGGGAGACTATAGCAAAGCCGTGCCTTAATATTTCTAGCCTTTAAAAACGCATTTGGAAGAATATATATTCGCAAAATGCTCAGATGTATACTTCAATGAAAATGATCTCGAAGTTAAAAGCTATTCTTTGACCCACGTGAAAACCTCAACAGGCACAAAACCCTATCCCAACAGATTTCCATTTCTGTGTGTTGCCAGTCATCCCAACTCTCCTACCTTGGGGAGAAGGGGGAGATGAGCTGGGTTTCTTTGGCCCACGTAATGATGGGTGGGGGTAGGCTCTTCACTTCACAGGGAAGTGTCACCTCTTCTCCAGCCAAGACAGAAATCTCCACAGGCTTATCCTGGGACAGCCCCCGCTGGTCTCCAAATATTCTGGGCCTTACTAAAATAAACACATCATTTGAAAGGGAAATAGTACATTGCATATGAAGCACAGTTTGCTGTACTCCTAATGCTCTGAAGTAGGTTACAAGAAGGTGTTGATTATCTTCTAGTTTCAGGGTATACAGGAAAGTTCGGTTAATAGTTGTACAGTGTTAGCTTGGGCAAAGTGGGGATCAAGCTGCCTTGTTTTGTCAGCAGTTCCTTTCAGCATACAGAAGCAAGTCAGCTGGGCTGCAAAAGGCACAAATAACCTTCAGCTTGCCTTCTGCATCAGCAGCTCCGAGAGGCAAGGCAGGCCCAGGCACTCTCTCTTGGCATTTTCCCTCAAGGCTTGTACTCCATCTCTTGAGCCACATTTCCACTTCCAGCTTTTTGCTGGTTAGTTGGAAATAAGATTCTCTCAGATTTATGTACCCAAACTGGCCTCAAACAAAATCCTCAGAACTCAGCCTCCTGAGTAGCTAGGATTACAAGTGTGAGCCATCAGAGCCGAACTTTTGCCAAGAGTTTTAATTGAATGGTGTTACTGAAAAGGGTAGATGAGAGATGTATATTTCTTGGACAAATACCATAACATGGTTTCTAATGGACTATACAGTTACGTTTCTTAAAATCAGAATCTAAGTAGAGTTGATTTTGGTTGGCAGTAGAAATGATTTTCTGTGCGACGTGCACATTTGTGTGTGGGGGGATTTATTTGGGGGTGGCATTATTGGAAAGGAAATATGAGTTTTGGCACACATAGGCAATATCAAAGGGAAATCTTCCTCCAGCGGGTCTCACCATACACCGTCAGCTGCACCTTCCTTTTGGCATAGCCGGCCGCGTTGGTGGCCGTGCACACATACTCTCCACTCTCCTCGCCTCCAGGAGACACCACATAGAGACTCCCATCGGCCCCTGCAGAAAACTTGGCATCGCCAGATGAAATCAGCTCTCCTTTCTAAAAACACAACAAAGAGCAAGGGGTTCCTAAAGATAATAAGGAGTGACTTCATGTCTGGAAGAGGAAGAGAGAAAGAAAAATATCTCCAAGTAGTGAAAAAGCAGATTAAAACAAAAACAAACAGTGCTAGTTAGAAGGGAGTTATTTTTGAGCAAAATCACACAAATAAATGTACTAAATTAAGTGGCATTTTGCCACACCATGCCCTTAACTACTTCAGTACTTAAACAAAAGAGAATAAGAATAATCTTAAGGTATGCTACCATGAGTTCTGGGGCTAGACCAGGCTCTTTTCTGAGTACTTGTATTGTATAACTATTTCAATACTCAAAACCAATCTTTCCAGTAGAAGTTTCCACAACCCCCATTTGACAGTCCAGAGGCCTGAAGCACAAGGGAGGATGGGAAGGGATGTGCCTCATGATCACAAAGCCCATCAGTGACAGACTGGGATTGGAACCCCAGGAGTTAAGTCCTGGAGCATGAATCGTTACTTCTGTGGTTCCAGCACACAAGTAGCCTTATACACTTCATTTTGGCCTTTTCCTTAAAGGGCATTGAATTTTTAGTCAGTGCCAAACCCTGTGCATTTGGAGATGAGCTTCATCATTGTAACTTCTGGGTCTAGAATATAAAAATATTAACCTTTTTATTATAGACAGATGTTATCCCCAATATATTAGAAAGCTGTTGGCTGAGTTTTGTGTTTTTTTGCTGAAAAAATGAGATGGTACAAGGAGACTCTTTTGTTGTAGTGCTCATTTTACAAATACCACATTCCACTATTTTACCATCATTTTGCATTACTTTATATCTGCCAGATGCAAACTACTTTGCAAAAAAAAATATGCCATTGCCGTAGTAGTTCAAAGATAGGGACTTCTTCATGCAATGTTTTGGTTTCTTGCTGCAAGAATATAAGAGAAAACTGGACAACCATATGACAGGGATAGGAGAGAATGTGTTTGTTCACCTATCTTACAATTCTTATTCATACTTGGGATTTGTGACTTTACTTTGAGGTTTTATTCAAAGGAAATTCCACATAGTTATACACAGTCAACTACATGATGCTTGAATTACATCACAACACAACCATAAAAATTTCTGTGAGCAAGCCTGTGTATCGGGAACTATTCTAAGCACTTCACATGTTGGAGCAGACCCTTCTTACCTCTGGCCACATGCCTCACCCCTATTGACTTCAGCGCAGCTCTACTGGACAGCTCAGTGTCCTGTGCCAGGATTATACTACTGCTGAGTGAACCTGCTCTTTGGCCACAAAGTTTTACCCAAAGCCTCCCAAGAGCTAGAATACAGAGAGCCAGGAAATGCAGTGCTGTTAGGTATAAACACCCCACTTCCTGTCTGTCAGGGAAATCTTTCTCATATGCATCTCAGGGATTCTTAGAGAGTGACCAGCACATTGAAGTTGACCAACCCACTCACAGAGGAAATCAACACAGTAAAGTCCTGTCCCTTTGGGCTTCATTCCTCTACTTCAGAGGCCACTTCCTAGTAACTTTTACCCTCTGATCCTCAGGCAATAACACTAGATGTAGCCTTTACCTTGGACCAGACAATCGATGGCTTGGGAATTCCACTTGCTTTGCATGGTAAAGTCACTGGGATGCCTTCGATTGTGCTCAGGACCTGCTGCCCATGCTGAATGGTTGGCAGGACTGTAAAGGAAAGCCAGAGTCAGCATCTGAGAAGCTCTTTCAATTAGCACCATATGTTTAAAGTTGAACTTCTTTTCCAATATATACTTAATGTTGCTAAAAATGATCAATGATAACATTTTAACACTTTCTGATAGAAATTAGGAAAATCTTGATGTGAAGTTCTGCTAAACAAAGAAAATGCAATAGTTATGCTCTGGATAAACTCAATAAAAACTTGAAGTGGTGAGGGATATTTAGCATAATGTCTTTCCTTCCAAAAAAGAGGTCTGAAGAAAATCTTTTTTCAAAATTACTATTTTTTAAAATTTATTGTTATGGTAAAGGTAAAGTACATAAGGGTTACAGTTACATAGGTCAGGTAATAAGTACATTTCTTTTTTGGGGGGGAGGTCCGGTCATGGGGCCTGATTCTGGGCCTGGGCGCTGTCCCTGAACTTTTCAGCTCAAGGTTAGTGCTCTACCACTTGAGCCACAGCACTACTTCCGGCTTTTTTCTTATGTGGTGCTGAGGAATCAAACCCAGGGCCTCGAGCATGCAAGGCAAGCGCTCTAACACTGAGCCACCTTCCCAGCCCTACATTTCTTTTTTGTACAGTGTCACCTCTTCCCTTGTTTTCTCCCAATATTTTTCCTCCCGTACGCTCCCCCAAATTATATAGTTCATTTTCAACATAGTGTCTAATGACTATCACTACTGAATTAGTTCACTCTTTGTCCCACTATTTCTGTGCTTTCCTCTTACCCTCCTCAAATCAGATAAACTTATAAGACAAAAAGTACAGAAATCAAAAGCAGCAACAAAAGGGGGAAAACAAAAACAAAACAAAAAAATGACAAAAAAGTAAAATAAGAACTTCTTCTTTCCATTTCTTAGAGTTCATTTTGATAAATATCATGTTATATGATCATATGCAAATAGCTATTGAGTCTTTGTGATTCTATCCTAAGAATATCCTTCTTTGGTCTGACTGTGTGAATGTGTAGAGTCCTGTTTAAATGTAATTTCTTGTCTTTTACTAACCATTGTGTTTACTTGTAAATTTATAGGCACATTCTAATGACTACAAATGAGGGAAACCATGCAACCTATATTTCTTTGGGTCTGGCTTATTTCACTTAATACAATTTTTTCTGTCTTTCTATTTCCTTATGAATGGGCAATATCATTCTTGTGATGGAAGCATAGAATTCCACTGTGTATATATACCCCCATTTTCTTGATCCATGCATCCACTGAGGGGCATCTAGACTGATTCCATATCTTGGCTATGGCAAACAATAGTGTAACTCATGGTTGTGCTGGTAGCTTTAGTGTAGCCAGGTTTGTTGTCAATAGGATAAATGCCCAGGAGTGGAATTGCTGGGAAGCCCTAGTTTAGTCTTTTGAGGAACCTCCAGCCTGCATTTCAGAGTGGTTGAACACATTAACGTTCCCACCAACAGTATTGAAGCATATTGAAGCATTCCCTTTGGACCACATCTCCACCAGCATCTGTTATTGTTAGTTTTCTTGATGATGACCATGCTAACTGGGGTGAGGTAGAATCTCAATGTTGGCTTGATTTGCATTTCTTTTATGGAACGAGATGTTGAATATTTCTTCATGTGTCTATTGGCCATTCTTATTTCTTCTTTGGAGAAATCTCTCTGTAATTATTTAGCCCATTTATTAATTGGAGGTTTCTGTTTCTTTGAGGAATTTTTAGGAGGTTAATTTTTAGTTTTAAGTATATTTTACATATGAGACTTTTGTCCAATGCAGAGCTGGTAAAATCTTCCATTCTGTGGGTTTTCTATTTATCTTGCTAGCTATGTCCTTTTCTATGTAGAAACCCTTCCATTTGATGAAGCCTGTTTATCCAGTCTTTCTTTGATCTGTAGTGATTCTGGATCATAGGAAGTTTCAACCTGTGCCTAGGAACCTTAGTGTTTCCTCTATCCCTTCCTGTAATATTTTCATGGTAGCTGACCTTACATTGAGTCTTTGGTCAATTTAGAATTGATTTTGGTGGAGGGTATTATATAAGGATCTAACTTTAGTTTTATGCACATATATAGCCAATTTTGCCAACACCATTTTTTGAAGCGGTGTCTTTCTTCTATCCTGTGTTTTTGGCTCCCTTATCAAGTATTAGATGGATATAGGTCTGTAGGTTCATTTCTATGTCTTCTATTCTGTTCCATTGTTCCTTAGGCCTATTCTTGTGCCAGTTGTGCAAGCTGTTTTTATTACTATGACTTTGTAATAGAATTCTAAATTTGGTGTTGATATTCCTCCAGCACTATTCTTCCTGCTAAGGATTGTTTTTGCTATTTTGGGTCTTTTATTATTCCACATGAATTTTTGGATAGTCTTCTATATTATTGAAGAATGTTTTGGGGATTTTGATAGGTATTGTATTGAATTTGTAGATTGTTTGGGGCAATGTTGCTATCTTCATGATGTTAATCCTTCCAATCCAGGAGCATGGAAGGGTTTCTTTTTTCATTTCCATAAATCTGCTTAATTTCTTTTTTTCATATTTTTAAAGTTTTCATCCTAGAGGTATTAGGTATTTTATTTTTTGAGGTTATTATAAATAGAATCGCTTTTCTGATTTCAGTCTCACTCTTCTTATTGTTTGCAAACAGAAATGCTATTGAATTTTGTGGATTAATTTTATACCCTGCTACTTGGCCAAAGTTTTGAATCAGCACAAATAACTTGGGAAAGGAATTTATGGGGTTCTTAAAATACTGGATCATGTCATCTGCATGACATGATCTTCTTTTCCTATTTGGATCCTCTTTATGTCTTTCTCTTGCCTTATTGCTCTTGCTAGGGATTCCAGTATGACATTGAAGAGTAGACATCCTTGTCTCACTCCTGATTTTACAGGAAATGGTTTTAACTAACAAAATTCTTTTTTCTTCCTGAACAGCCAACATAGACTTAAACCTTAACAGTTACAAATTCAATGCCTATCTTTGGACATCATCCATTACCAGTAATCTCCAGTGAGCTGACATAAGCCACCTCCACAGAATGAGCTGTTTAACTACCACATATAACAAAAGAATCACTTAGCAGGCTACCAAATTTAAACTACTATTTTTTTTAAAAAAAGGATGTGTTTCCTTAAAAGGGATTCAGCAGTAAAACTTGAAAGACTTTAGGAGTTTACATTTAAACTTCTAAAATATAAGTAATGTTTTTCATTAATAAAAAGAACGTATCATTGGCTTTAAAAAGCAAAGTGAGAAATTGATATGAGTAGAAGTAAAAAAGAGGAGATTCCAGTTACTCCCTTCTGTGTGTATTACAATTAGTTACAACCAAGACATACACACAGACTATTGGTAATCAATGTTCTCAGAATTATGATTTATTTTCTTACTTTGTTTCTGTCTGTATCTTGCTTCCTTTTTTCCTTCCTTCCTTTTTTCCCCTTCTTTTTTTTCCAATTAGTAATGAGGTTTGAACTTGGGGCCTCCCATTCTTGCTGTTTCCTTGTTCAAAGCCAGTGTTTCCTTGTTCAAAGCTAGTGCTCTACCACTTGGGTCATAACTGCAATCCACCTTTTTGCTAGTTAACTGGAGATGGGGTCTAGTGGAATTTTCTGTCCAGTCTGACTTTGAAATTCAGCCCTCTATATTTCAGCTTGCTGAGTAGCTAGAATTACAGAATAAGCCATCGGTGGCCAATTCCAAAGTAATGATTTATGTCTATGTTCAAAGATATCTGTTCAAGGCTCTTATAGATATGAGGCCTTTGTCCAATGCATAGCTGGTGAAGATCTTCATCCATTCTGTGGGTTTTCTATTTATCTTGCTACTGTGTTCTGATAAAAGAACATCCATACATGAGTGTTCATGACAGTTCAAGAATAGACAATGAAAGACTGATGTGTTTCAGACATTTCCTTTGTATCTTCTGAGAAGATAAGACTAGACCTGCTTCCTGGGTTTCTGTCAATCACCTTGTCCCTAGCTTAGAAAGAACTGATATTGCTCAAGATAGATTGTACTCATAAATTGCCATGGGTTGAACCTTTTATACAACTGAAGATAATAAATATATATATATATATAATAAAAACTTTCCAGAATTATCATATTCCCTTGAAGTAGAAGTTTTCTAGAACACAAGATCTATTAGAAGTCCTTGCAAATATCCTTTGAATGGCTTAAACTAACCTAGTACACATACAACACACACGCTCATATTTTCCTGTAGCTGGCGTTGTTTTTGGATAATTTCTTCTTAAAGAGTTGGTAGTGACTCATCAGCTCTAAACACAAATGTCAGGCTGCTCACTTAAGCAAGAAATTAGATTTCCAGAAACATGATGGAATCTTCAACTTTCAAATATGTTGTCAATTTTCAGCAACATGGAATAAGACATTTTCTGAAACCTATATTAAGTTTGCCTGCAAAGAAAAGGGGCCAGCTCAAGCCAGTTTTGAAATTTGATGCCATCTCTCATGGAAGAAATATTTCTTTGCAATGGTCAAACTGCAGCAAAATGACAAAATCTTCTGTTATGTTTATTTGCATCCATTCAAATTTTTCTTTTATGTATATATTTTTTTCTTTTAATTTTTCATTCATATTTTTAAAGAATGAGTTGAGAGCATTTAATAGATGTCCTTGAACATGTCCTTAACAGGCAGAAAGGAAATGACGGCTGATTCACATGAAACAGGCATTCAGAAGTCGACATGCAATACACACCCATTTGTTGAATGGTGCAGTGTAGAACATCCTAAATAACAGGGCTGATTTAAAAAAAAAAGCAAAACAAAAAAAACTTATTTATAAAATTAGCTGCTCATTTTGGATGAAAATGGACCAACTATTGTGACATGATATCTTTATTTATTATTTATGCCAGTCATGAGGCTTCAACTCTGGGCTTGGGTACCATCCGGGGCTCTGTTTCGCTCAAGGCTAGCACTCTAACACTTGAGCCACTATGCAAGTTCCGGATTTTTCGGTGATTTACTAGAGATAAGAGTCTCACTGACTTTCCTGCCCAGGCTAGCTCCTAACCTCAGTCCTCAGATTTCAGCTTCCTGAATCACTAGGATTATAGGTGTGAGCCACCACCAGTGCCCAGCCTCTGAGCTTTTAATTACTAAAACTTGTTGCATTACTAAAAAGCACCTCAATATTTGCCTCTCTTCTCAATACTCTGATGTATTAGACATCCCATATAATCTAGTCATGCCTGTATCCACCCAGGTATAAATTTGTTTCCTGAATTCTCCACACAATACCCTAGGGAATCATTAAAAGCTAAAAGACATGCCATAAGCTTATTCCCACAGTGGATTTTTAATAGTCCATAATCACCCTGTAGGATATCTATGGCCTGCTCTTCTTTATAAACAATGTCACACCACAATATCCAGTCTACTATTATTAATTTACTCTAATAAGCTGTGAGTGATTTAGGTTGCTTTAGTGTTTCCTCAAAATAATTTTATTTTATGTTCTCTTCTCTTCACTCTTTTCTCCTCTGATATCCTCTCCCTTCCCCTTCTCTCCTTTCCTTTCCTCTCCTCATTTTTTCCCTCCTTTGCTTTTTTCTTTTTTGCTTTCTTCTTTTTTGCTTTCTTTGATGTTTCTGGGATTTGAACTCAGTGCCTTGTGCTTCTACGGCAGGTGCTCTAGTACTTCATCCTTGCCCTAGCATTCAAAATACTTCTTCAAGACTATCTCAGGTGATTCTTACAGAGATTAGTATAAAACTGAGAGAGATGGAAGCAAAACAGTCATAACAAGACTCTCCATTCACTTAATTTTTCAATAGACAAAACAACATTTGCAAACGTTGACTCTACAGTTCATTTTCTAAATGAAGTGTGAATCAACTGCTAAAAACTGGTGTTCTGTAGACTTCATTTCCTAAGATATTCAGCATTGCAGTCACAAAACTATTTTTAATACTAAATCTTTCTAAAACCAATGTTGCGATGTTTGTAAAAGAATTAGCCAATACAAGCCAGGCATCAGTGGTTCATGCCTGTAATCCTAGCTATTCAGGAGGCTGAGATCTGAGGACTGTGGTTCAAAGCCAGCCTGGGCAGGAAAGTCTATGGGACTCTTATCTCCAATAAGCCACCAGAACACTGGAAGTGGTGCTATGGCTCAAGTGGTAGAGCACAAGCCTTGAGCTGAAGAGCTGAGGGACAGCGCCCAGACCCAGACTTCAAATCCCACGACTGAAGAAAAAAAAAGAAAAAGAAAAGAATTAAGCAAAACAATCATGGTAATTTCTTAACTTATGAAGTCCTTTATTTAAGGGATTAAAAAAAAGTGGTCACTATTAGTCATGGATGGAAATAAAGATTGGCTCTGGATTATCTTGTGACCTTTAAGTTATCTAACATGCAAGAAGATGGTTTACAGCACACAAACTCAACTTCAGTAAAGTTAAGGTCATTTCTAGCTCCAACACTAAGGGGTCATCAGTAAGGACATGCTTGTTGTACCATGTTTTTAAGTTAGTTTGGGTAGTATAATAAGTTCAGCTTGCCTGTAATTAAAATGTATTTTTTAACATAATTCTTTGAGAGCCGAGTTCATTTTAATCCATTAAATTTCACTCACAAAAGCCCTCAGTTCATCTGATCACTCCCAAGAATGTCTTTTTGTATACAGGAGGGAAATCTAGAAATGACATTAACAATGCAGATATTGTTCATGAAATATAACAATTCAGAGAGATGTCTACTTCTCATCATTGGAGTGACAGCCATCTGATTAAAAAAAAAGGGACATGAACACAGTTTTGAATAAGATCTGAGAATAATTTCATTGTGTGTCTCTTACCATGAACAACCACAGAGGTTGTTTTGTTACTGACTCCAGCAACATTCCTGGCCACACAAGTATATTCACCTCCATCTTGAAGTCGAACTCTTTCTATATGAAGGCTCCCATCACTTCGTACAGTTATATACGGGTTTTGTACCAACTAAAAGAAAAAGAAATATAATAGTTTTTTAACTTAAAAAGGCAAGAATTTGTCTAGCCAAGGTTGGATCTTCCTTTTTTGGCTTACTGAATCATGAAAAAGCTAAAACTTTATAGCTTATGCAAAATATTTTAGCACCTCTAGATAAAACAGTCAGCAAGCCACATGCTGGTGGCTCATGATTATAATCCTAGTTATTCAAAGGACTCAGAACTGAGGATTGCAGTTCAAATTCAGCCAGGGCAAGAGCGTCTCCAATTAATCACTAAAAAGCCAGAAATGGAGCTGTTGTTAAGCAGTAGAGCACTAACCTTCAGCACAAATCTTAGGGATAATATCAAGGCATTAAATTCAAGTCCCAGGAACGACATACACACACAGAAACAACAGAAAAGTCACCACAAATTCATCAATCATAGTCAATCTTGATATAGCTCCAAAAATTATACCTACTAAAATTTTCACAGAGTTGAACAAGGAAAGAAACATTGATTGTTTCTGCAAATTTTACTACTCAGGACTCAAATTTAACCAGCAAGTTTGACTTTTGACTCAGATTGTTCTTTTACAAGACCTTATTTCTACTACGAAGCAATTTGATATATATGCATATTGCATACATTTTTGACTGTGCTGGGGTTTGAACTCAGGACCTAACTCTTGTTAGGCATGTTCTCTAATACTTCAGTCATTGTGCCAAGCTATCTGGTAGTTTTGTTTTTGTTTTGTTTTTGACTCATTGGCATTTACTAAGCCAATGAAAAGGGAGTCAGTTTCAATGCCCACTCTATCAGCTGGCAGAAGCAAACAATACTGGACACTGTATAAATAGCATGCTAGAGAAGGCTGGCAATACTTTCATTTAAAATGATCACCTCCCAAATCTGTACCATTTATTAAGATTGGCATATAGGATATGTTAATAGTCAACTAGAATTTCCACATTCAAAGCATTTATTTTCCAATAAGGTATACTATTTTTCCAATAAACTATACTATTTTTCCTCAGGGTTTTCATGCAAATATGAACAACTTTCTAATTTTTTAAGTCAATTTGTTTAAGATGAGTACCTCAGGAAGAAAATGAGAGAATCCTTTGGAAAGTGGAAGGAAATGCCCTAAACTAGATGAAAATATAACACCATAAATAGCATTTTAATGGAAAAATTTCATAGAAGTTGAGGGGCCCATAGCTCATATCTGCAGTCTAGCTGCACAGCGAGCTGAGACCTAGAGGACCAAGGTTCACAATCAGATTGAGGGAAAAAGTCTGTATGCTTGTCTTCAATTAACCAGCAAAATACCTGACTGGAGGCATAGCACAAGTGGTAGAGCATCAGCCATAAACAAGAAAGCTTTGTGAAAGTAGAAATTGTTTTGGTGTACATGCGTGTGTGTGTGTGTGTGTGTGTGTGTGTGTGTGTGTTTGTGTGCGCGCGTGCTTGTTCTCAAAGTCTTGGCACCATCATTCAGTTTTTTGTTTTGTACAAGCCTCACACTGTCCCAATTGAGCCAGAGTTCCACTTCCACTAATTGGAGATAAGAGTCTTACAGACCTTTCTTTGCGTGTGTGGACTTTGATCCTCAGATCTCAGTCTCCTGAATGGCTAGGATTACAGATGTGAGCCACCAGCACCCAGTGGGAAGTACAAATTTAATTCCAGACACACACAAACCCATACACACACACACACAAATTCATAAAACTATAAAAATCACCCACATTCTTCCCTAGTCAAAAGCTATAAAATAAAAATCAATGACATACTATACATCTACATTCTTGAGTAGTTCATAATAAAAAACAGAATGTACAAAGTTAAACACAATAGATTAATATATAATATGAAAGAATTTTTATGTGTGTACTTACATTTCATAAACATCCTGGATTGAAGGATATAAAATATCTAACTGCTATAAAAATAGCATTCAAGAACTTCAGTTCTTACATATTGAGAGGGGACTTTATTAGTGACAATAAATTTAGTAGGAAAGTATGCAAGTCAAACCACTGATCATTTTTACAGGAATCCCCAGATTAATAAACTTTAACAATAAATAAAAGGCTTTGATACACTTGTAAAGCATATTTTTGCATGTGTATTCAATGTTCATTTCAGTGGTTGGAAGACATTATTTCTAACTTAAGACAAATACAAATGTCAATGCATGCATTGAATACCATTACCGTGGCAGAATTCTTTATCCATCGATGTTCTGGAATGGGATTTCCAGCCAACAGGGTGCAAGGTAAAGTAAGCTGCTGTCCTTCAATAACGTTGGCAACTGAGGGGCTGATTCCAATGAGGGGAGCAACTGGACCAGAGAGAGAATGGGCACTTTCAATTCTACTCACCCGAAAGCAAGGTGAACTACTTCATAAGGAAAATGACCCATGAGTGCTGATGCAAAAATTAGTTTTCTCTCAGGGACAAAAAAGTTTTAAGTAAAAATGGGTATGACCTTGAGAGTAGAGAGGAAGAATCTTCTTCAACCAAGGAAATAGCAAAATGGTAAGAGTGTAGAAGAAAATAAACGAAAAGCATGTCAGGAGCATGGAAAGCTGGAAATGTCAAGGAAAATACTTGCATTGTATCTGGAAGACAAAAGAAGACTATTTATTTGATCATGGTGAATAGCCTAAAAGGAATGGGAACAATAATGGCTCATTTTATTGATGAAGTTATACTTGCTAAGTACAATAGGAATGAAATATTATAGGTAAGTCCTTTCTGGGCATAGTGACTCATGCCTGTAATTTACACTACTCAGGAGGCTGAAATCGGAAGGATCTCAGTGTTAGGCAGCTTATGTAAAAAGATATGAGGGCATAAATGAGCAGCAAAAAGTAGGACTTGAGGCATGGCTCAAAGGTAGAGCACCAGTTGAGCAAGAATGTCAAGTATGCATGAGGACCCAAGTTCAAAGTCTAATACATTCAAAACCAAACAAAATAAAAGTCCTTCTCTAAAATTAATAAAAAGATTAATGTAAGTCAAAGCAAAATCCCTGAGAGACTTTACTCTGAAATTTTAGATACATATAGATAGATGTAGGAAAATATACAGGAGTTTCTATAAATTCTCAAACCACATTTCATCTATTTACCTAGGTCTTGAATACTGGGGTTATAGAAGTATACCACCACATTCAGGTTATTTGTAGAAATTTACTGAATTTTTGATCAGGCTGGACGTGAACCATCTTCCTCCTGAGTAATTGGGACCACAGTGCACAACACAATGCCGGGTTACACTGATATATTTAAAAATCACATTAAATGCTATGATCGTTGAAGCAAAATAGTACCAGTACCAAGATTATATAAATTCAGCATGTGATCAAATGAAATTAGTAGAAGAGAATATTCGATAGAAGACACTAAATCAAATGTCTCACACTTGGAAGTAAACTATTTATGCTTCACATCATATGAAATATAATCTTATGTGAATGGTAACAATAGATATAAAACAGGCAACCAGAAAAGAACTCCTGGAGCCTTTGCTTGGTTTAAGAAAATAAAACTTTATCAGGGTGCCTGTGGCTCACGTCTATAATCCTCGCTACAAAGAGACTGCAATCTGAGGATCATGGTTTGAAGCCAGCCAAGGCAGAAAAGTCTGTGAAACTCCAGTAAACCGTTCAGAAAAAGCCGGAAGTGGCACTGTGGCTCAAATGGTAGAATATTTGTATTGAGCACCAAGTGGCTCAAGGACAGTGTCTAGGCCCTGATTTCAGGCACTGGTAAAAGGAAAGAAAAGAAAAGAAAACTTGGCAGGTGCCAAACATGTCAAAAGATGATTTGAAGAGTGCAGTGTCTAGACAGTGACACGATCTTACCAAGTCCTGTCACCGTCACTGTTGCCTGTGACTGGATCTTTCCAAACTGGTTTTCAGCTTCACAAATGTAGGTTCCTTTATCACTTGCCCATAAGTCTAAAGAAGAATGAAGTTGTTTATTCAAGGAAACCTTGACCATTGCCAGGTACAGTACTGGAATCTTTGGACAGAAGTCACGATCTGTTCCTGTAGCCTTCCTTCTAGAGGAGTCACAGCATAATCAGGAATCACCTATACTAGGGTAAGGGATATGTGAATTTCAGCCAATGAGCCTTGGGAGCACACAGACAGGAGAGGCTGAAGGCCCATGGGAGGAATGGAGAATCCCATCTTAGGCAATATTTGAACTCTACCTTAGAGTGGGTGGAAGAGAGGAATGGCAGTCTCATTCTAATGAATTACAAAGGGCAAAGCATGCTTGAAAGAAGTCGAGGTCTGATCAAAGAGTAAAAACCTACATGACCCTGGGGGCATTTTGGAAGTTAGCAGGGGAGATGTTTTCTTTTGTTTTAAATTGGTAAAAATCGACTCCTATTTCATAGGCAAACGCTAGAGAGGCAGAACATGGGGGCAGATTCAGGAAAGAACAATTATTCCAAGTCCAGCAAGAATTGTAAAGGCCCCACTGGAAATCCATGGAATGTTTTTCTTTTTTAATTATAATTGTAACTAATTGGAATTGGAATTGCAACTAATTTGGTGGAAGTAGCAGAAAATAGATCTTTGGCAAACATTGTTTACCATTTCAGAAATCATTTCACCAGGTTGGAGTTGGGGAGACAGTAACCCAGTATTTCCACACCAGTCTGCATTTGGCAGTTGAATTCATGTTGATACTATGTACACACATGTGCCATTGCAGAGTTCATCATAATGAGTGTGAATTACTTTCCTTTATTTCACCTTCGCTGTACATGCTGGACACTAAGAGAATTATTATGGTGTAGGTCAAGCAACTGTACAGAATTGTTTTTCATGACCACAGATGAATATTAGAAGCGAGTAATATTCTTTTGAGACCATAGTGGAGGTAGGCATTCGGGGTAGGTAAGGTTGAGTGGGATCAGTCAGGAGGTTGAGCCTGAAACGCCATACAGTGAGTGGATTTTATGTAGAAGTTGATTTTCAAATACAGTGATTGTCACCTTGTAACTATTGTAAACAAGTACAGTTTGACTGGTACTATGTAATTGTAGATATTTATATCAACTATATCTTCTTTGACCTACTTAAAATCGTGAGAGCTCCTGTTCTCAGCTGGCTGATGGAACTAACTGAAAAAGGCCTGGAGAAGAGAGGCATGTGGTCCAGTCTTTGCCATCGGATTTTTGGCTCTGGATAACCCTGAACATAACAAGGCAGTGTCACATTTGAGCCAATCTCCACAGACACGTCAGCAGGTTCCTGGATGAAAACGGGAGGTGCTGAAAGAGAGGTGACATTAAAAGCCATTGGTATAGTATACGAGCGTGCTATAAACATCAACCTTAGTAAAAATGTCAACAGATTGATTTTGAAACAAATCACTGTCCATGAAATCCTATCAATTTACCCTGGTGTTATTCCTCTATGATACAGAAATCACATATGTAGAGTATATAAAACAAAAGTTTTATAAATGAATACAAGCACCAAGCTCAACTATTTATTTAAAGAAGTAGATTGTACAGTGTAAACTTAAAGAGGATCAACTTAACTGAATAGAAGTTTCTACTTCAGAAACATTTTCATTGTTTGTTATTCTCAAATCTTAAGACTTTCTTATAAATAAATTTGCCTTGTAATATTTTTGCTATTTTCTGAAACTCACTCTTTTAAAAGGTGAGTCTTCTCAATGAACTTCAATTTTACTAGAATTTTAATTTAAGAAATATGAGCTAACATGCTAATTGTATTTACTCCTAATTATGACCTTATTCAGTATCAGATTTTTGTTCTTTATCTCACAGTATTAAGGTACAGGAATATACATTTGTGAGATAGTCACACAAATCAAAGTAACAGAACATAGTTTTTGACAAAGGAAGAAAAGTGTTTAACATCTTAAGTGGGATTGAAAAATAATTCATAGTGATTTCATAATTAGAATTGGAAGACTAAAAAATTGCTATGGTTACTCACTAGACACTATATTGAAAATGAGCTATGTAACTTGTGTGTAGAGATGGGAGGGGAAAAACGTGGAGAGAGCGAGGAAAGGAAGGACATTGTCCAAAAAGAAATGTACTCGTATATCATCTTTATAATAACAATAAAAAGGAGAAAATTGCAACAAAAAAAAAGCTGGTGCTAGGGGCTCATGATTGCAATCTTAGCTATTTAGAAATCTGAAACCCAGAGGATTGCAGTTCAGAGTTATTCTAGGAAGAAGAGTCCTGAAGAGTCCATCCAAATAACCAGCAATAAGTAGGCATAAATGGAAGAGAACCAGCCAAGCAAATAGAAGGCTCTGAGTTCAAACCCCAGTGATGCCAAACAAAGACATGAAGGCTACAAGTATCGGTGTAATTTAGATAATGGCAGAAATTGAAAGGAAGAAGTAAAAATACATCAAAGACACACCTTGGAAAACACAGGAACCTAGAATAAGAATGAAGCTATCAGTAAGAACAAATGTATGATGCTGCCAGTATGTTGCAGAAACTTGTAACTAATAGTGAGTAACAATGCTTGTGGCATCAGGCAAGGGGAAATGCATAGGACAGCATTGAGAGAATGGAAGTCATCTGCTCATATAGGATTCTAAGAGACCAGAGCCTAGGGATGGCTTTCTGATAGATCAATTTAAATCGTTGATTGAAGTGATGCTGGGGCTTAAGTGCTCGCCTTGATCTGAAGAGCTCAGGGACAGTGCCCAGGCCCAGAGTTCAAGCCCCATGACTGACAAAAAAAAAACTTAAATTCTTGATTGTAATGACAATAACTGACTTTCAAAGTCCCAGATTTTCTTACATGCTTCCCATGATCTCATTTAATCTTACAACATATCCCTACTATGAATTTATAGATACAGAAATGGAAACTTATTTGAACTGTTGCGTCAGATGGAGCTGAATGACACAAAACACGATTGAAAACTAGTTTCCACTGCAGAGTCACAATATTTTGTCACTTTATCAGCCTTCCTTGTCCACAGGTTCTAGAAACTGCTCAGTCATACTATTTAGCAGACTTATAAAAGAGACTATAGAGATTCTGTCACTTCTGCAGTTGTCCCCAAGCTGCGCTAATGCCTTTTTAGACTGGGTTGAAGGACTTCCTTCACCTCTACAGGCCCATCTCCTCTTACTTTCCCTACACGAAACCTATCCACTGTGCCACAGCCTCCGAACAAGGATGGACCCTTCCCATATCAGGACCTGTGTACCTGTACTGTCATACTTCCCCTTCAGATGGAACACTTGATGTTGTTATCTGGCTGTTATCCTGATAAGGTAAAAAGAACCCTCTTCTAGGATGCTATATCTTACTATCTGAAATAAACATTTTTTATTCTCCTCTGAAATTTCAGACAACTTTATAAAATCACCACATCCATCCTACTATAGACAAAATGCTTATTTTGCCCAGTTTACATTTGCAACCATATTTTTATCTTTGCCAGCAACTAATAAGATACTTATTTATGATAGGTTGTCACTGAATGATGGAGTAAATTTTTGAATCAGTATGAAAAAACTTCAGTAATATAATCTCTCTCTCAGAGCACTTAAGTATATAATGATGAGAGAACTTTTACTTAGTCTAGATGAACTTTTACTTTTGAAGGAAATGTAGTAATTTTAGAAATCTTAGTCATTTATTTATTGGGCATAAACAAAATTAAATATGACAATTGAACACCATGTTTTGTAAAGAGAGTGGTGTTTCTGTGCTGAGATTCATTGTAATCTAAATATAGAGAAATCTGGCATAAAAATAATCAGTGAGATGAACACATTTTGTTGATGAAGTAGCTCATTGCTGACTTGCCCTGTCTCTAAGACCTAGGTACTTTCTGGAATGAAGTACCTATTGGTCTAGACCTGTAACTTTTCATAAAATAAGAAAGTCTAAAAGTCTCTAGATGGGTCAGGATCAGAGTTCAGGCATGCAGATGTAGGAATGGATAGAAAATAAATTCCCAAAAAGTATAAACATGTGCAGAAGCCTATACTCTAAAGTGTAACGGACAAAGGAAAGCCCAGTTTACTGTTACATTGAAATAGTGACCCCAGTAAAAATGGAGGGACACTAGGCTGTTTAAAGCTAGAATGTTCAGAAGGAAAAACACAGAATTACAAAAAAAAAAAAAAAAGGAGCAAAGCTCAAGTTGTACTGACAAATTTCCATTAAGACAGGAGAAGACATTCATAGTAGAGCTCTTAGGGAAGTGCATCCAGCCACAACACAAGCACCAGCACAAGGTCAGAGAGCAAATGAACCAGTATCAGAAAACAAGGCAAATGAGAATAGCAGGCACTAGGTAAAGCAGCCAAGACTCATCTGTAACAAGCAAATCTTGAAAATGAGGCAGCTCCGGACAGAGCCAAGAAGCCTCTTAAATACTTCCTATTTCTGAGTGTGGCCAACAAGTTCTCCAGTTGAGTTACAGTGGTGGATGGTAAACAGCTTAACAAAACCAGGGGGAAGAATAGGAGCAGAGGATCCTACAGGGTGCAGTGATACTGGCCCAGAGTATGCTCTGGGGCTTTCAGAGCCCAAGAGCCTCAGAAGTGATGGTTCAGAGGGCAATTCTACTGCTTAATCTGCAAGCAGCAGACCATGTCTTACCAACTCCATTTGAGATTTGCCAGTGAATCAAAAGAAATAATAAAATCTCCTACCTCATGTTCTTAAAATGGATTGTCTCTATTAACTATTTAACACATAATAATCATTAACAATCATGGGACATAAATAGTTACTTTTTAATCTTAGTTGGACTGTTTATTTATGTCTCCATTGTTGAAGTTTTCATTCCTCAGTCACTAATTTCAATTTTGGCTTCTTCCAAGTATCTACTAGGATAGTATAAGTTTGATCCTTTGTGATCCCCCTAAACTTTGGTGTGCCAGTAGCCTGAGGCCTGCCCAGGGTTAAGGCCCTGGAACAGTTTTATTGTTACTAAGGGATACTTGAAAATAAATAAAAATAAATACTTGAAAATAAATAAAATTGTTGATGCTTGTGGCTCACACCTGCAATCCTAGCTACTTGGGAGACTGAGAGCAGAAGAATTACTGTTTACTACTAGCCCAGTTAGTAAAACCCTATCTCAAAATAACCAGGAAAAAGCAGGGCTAGAGGTGTGGCTGAGAATACTAGCCTAGTAAGTGTAAGGCCCTAATTTAAATCCAGTGCCATAAGAGTAGTGGTAGTAGTAGTAGTAGCAGCAGCAGCAGCGGTGGTGGTAACAATAACAACACTAGTAATATCATTAACAGATTGACCATCTTGCTCTAAAACTATTCCTTAAAACTGATATAGTTATCATTAAAAAAATTCAATACATATTCTCTCCATGGCAACTCTCAAATGATATTAGTCAGAGATTTTTTCTTAAAGTGAGTAGACACAGTCCCACCAGACCATAAAACACAAAACCACAGACTAAGACTCAAACTCCGGGTGGTGGAAAGCTACAAGAGAAACTGATAACAGGCCAAGTTATTGGTGTGTGTAGCTAATCCTCTCTCCTTCTACATGACTTCACAATTCATTGTCCCTTTTATACAAAGGATAAAAGGTATTGGTAACTTTCTTTTTGTTGTTCCAAAACATCCATCTCTTAAAGCCACAATATTGAGAAACAGGATAAAAGCCAGTCTCAACAAGAAGCTGGAAGTCATGAATTATATTTTTTGATCTAATATAGTTCCGTGAGGTAATAGGCCCACAAAAACAATCCACAAGCCTAAATATCATGTGATATGTATAAAAACATGTTTCCCTTTTTATGTTATAAGCTATTTAAATTTAAGCCCTGTAATTTTGGAATTGAGATGCACTACCAATTTTAATTCTTAACTTGCTTCAAGACTTTTCTAAAAGGAAATTGAAACAGGGGCTTATTAAAAGCCTAATGCTCAATTTTAAATTGTTACTATGACCTAGTAATTTTGATATCATAAGACTCAGAGAATCAAAATAAGTACCTTAATTTTTAAGTTAATATTCACCTACTGGATATATGTTGCATCAATCTATTAGTAATAATTGACATGCTGAATGTATATAGGTGGTGATATTTTATCATTATAACCTACCTATGAGGCAAATACCATTTATTTCCTTATTTTATAGACACGGAAAGTCAGACAACCTATTCCATTCTCTTTACCATTGGATAAATTCTGAAGAAAGCTTTGATTCACAATGTATTTGCTTTTAAACCCACAGTAGAAACCACAAGCATCTACAACTATACATCCTGTATCTGCTGGAGTATCTAACAATAGTTTGATGTGGACAGACTCCTGTGAGCCACTCTGAGAAGAACACAATGGAGAATCAGGAATAGTTAAGGCATAGCAGCAGCATGAACGGTGAGAACTTCACTAGTAAGTTGGAGATTTATTTTGGTCATAGTCAAGGTTTCAGTATGCAAATAATGAAATTTTTATTAGTGGCTCTATCAGAACTATTGCTGGAATGAAAGTTGAACATCTCTTGTTTGGATTGTACTATTTTGATTGACTCTTGAATATACATAAGAAGAAATCAAAGTTCAGTTCAGTATTTAGAATGAAGCATAAACAGAGGTTAGGTTAGGTTAGTTTTCCAACACTACGTACCTAGCACAGATATCCACGCTTTGTTGATGGATCTCTGAACAAAAGAGAGAACTTGGAAAATCCAGAAGTTAAACATATTATCAAGAAGACAGTAAACAAGGTAGCATGCATAAGATTCTCAGACTTCCTACAAATGTTGAAGGGGACTGGGAACAATTATTGAGGCAATTTCTCTGTTCTGCTAGAGCTAGAAAGTTTTAGAAGCGTGTTAGGTTGAAATAAGATATGTCAGCAGGAAGGGGGCAGAAGGAGAAGGAGTAAATGTTGAGAACTTGAAATGTAGCTATCAGTGTGTTTCTTGAAAGCAAGAATTCTGTTTCTAGTGATTCCCCGCCCCCTGCTTAGCTGAGGTTTTCATGTCTGAAAGTGTCCATGTGCTTTACATCCTGCTGCTAGATGCAGAGATACCCTCTACCCAGAGATCCCAATCTTACTTTCAAAGTATTTTTCATTAATAATCAACATGTTTGGTTGTGTGAAATTATCAGGTATTGCTTAGAAAAACTGTAGAGTGAACTTTGTGGTAATTTCCAGCTTTTATGATTCAACTACAAGGGCAAAATCACCAAGAATGAGGGGAAGAGGATTCAGATCCTCAAGGATCACAGGAGAGAAAACGAACTATCACAAAACAAACTTCCAAGAACAGAGGGCCAAAATTTCCAGTTAGACTTAAGGTAATAGAACTAAAATGCTTTGTAAAAGATGCATTTTAACTTTTGTTAGGAGAAAAAAGCAATTTGCTGCAAAAATATGATTATAATACACACATATGGTTACAACTTAATAAAATACCATATTTTATGAATTTTAAGAAATATTTTTCAATTATTTGTTAAAATTAAGCTGCTAGTTCTTTGCAGTGTAAAACAAGGTTTGTTTAATTTCAAATTTTACTATACTATGTGTAGATTCTTCCCTTCATTCCTTTCTTCCTTCTTTTTCTTTTATCTTTCTTCCTTTTTCTTCTTTCTCTTTCTTTCTTTTCTTTCTCTCTTCCCTTTCTCCCCCCTCCTTCCATTGTTCTCCTCCTACATTTCCCTTTTGAATAGTGAAATAAAGAGACAAAGGAAGAGGGAATTAAACTTCCCGAATAACTCAAATAGAGTTGTCATGCACACATTTTATCTTCATATGGCAATTGACATTCCTGTAGTCAGTACTTTATAGCTTGGTAATACTTGTTAATGAATTAAAAAAAATAAAACAAAAGCTCAATCTATTACCTTTGCTGTCAGCCACATTTCTAAATTTTGTTCTAGGGCCAAAGAGTACTTTCTGGCCTCCAGATGTTAATGCTTAGGAATTTGATGATAGAAAACATGACTACTGATGGGAAAATAGCAATATGGGGATATATGGGTAAAGTCATGGTCTCTGAAGTCAGAAATGGAAGTTCAAATTTCCCAACTCTGCCCCTCTCTAGTTCTGAACCCTCGTTAGCTGCTCAGTCTTCACAAACTTGTTTCCTTGACTATATAATAAACAGAATTATGGCATCTTCCTGGGTTCTTAAGTAGGTTTAATGAGATAACCCATAAAAAGTTCCTGGCACCATCAAAGTCCACAAAAAATGCTAACCACCATTATTGTATGAATGATCTAAAACACTCGCCGTAGTTTTGCCATTCTGACAAATATTCCTACCAAATTGTTTCAAAGTGACTCAACATGGAAAACCAGCAGATCAGTCTCAAAGCAAATTGGGTCAATCAGAGCAGGAGGCTTACAGCCAACATCCAGTGTTATCTTGCCAGTTGCCCTTCCAGCATCATTAATGGCTATACACGTATAATCGCCAGCATCCAGATCCTGTGTTTCTTGAATCTTCAAAAGTCCCAGGAGAGGGTCAATAACAAGGAATGTTGAAGGCCTCAACTCAAGATCTCCTGTCAAAATGAAGGGAGAATATATAGTTTACTCAGTGAAGTGGTCGGAATAAGATTGCTCGCAGTTTCTTGTCAAGTGTCTTATACAACAGACACTTTCTATGGTCTGAACCTGGTCCTGTAATGACCTGCATACAAATATTTTATCTTTGTATCTGTATATGAACCTATAAAGATGAGCTCTTGAAATGGCAAGGTTAGCAGTTGGAGTGGTGGCCATGGGAAAAGAACGGTGTAGGAAGGTGAAGGTCAAAAATAGGTGTCTATCATCCCTGGACAGGATGCATATTTCACCACCCAAGAGATGCTTGAAAGTGGACAGGAATTCACTTGGATCAGAATGAGCAAGGTATTGGTTTGCTAAAATCTTTTTTAGTTGTGAGGAGTTTAAGCCGGCTAAAGAAGCTGGTGCGAAAAAGCATGTTAGAAAAGAAAGGATGGATGATAAACGCCCGACAACGACCAGAGAGGGTACTATTATATCAGCTCCCAGGCTACTTCATCTAAAAATCTGTATTGTTCATTATAATGATTGAAGTTGGACCAATGGGGGATTTGTGAGGAAGCAGGTGGGAAATACATGTGTGGGAAATGAACCACCTGTTACATTTGACCTCAACAGGAGGACAGAATGAAAAAACAAAGGCTATCTACATCTGAGTTACCTGTAAAGGTGGTGTGTCTCTATTGTACCATAAATCTCCTGAACGTCTTCTGAAAGGAGACAAAGCCCTCTATGAAGCTTATTTATGGCTCCTTCTTCCAGAGGATCTCCTCTCCAAACACTGAAACTAACCAGAATGGCTAGTATCCAATCAAAAGGACTAGAAATTCAGTGCCAGCCAGCATCCACAGAACATTTGTTCTATAAAATGGAGAATATCCTAAAATCTTCCAGGAGGTTTGAGAGCCTTTAGGTTTAGGGTTTTACAGCATTCCGCAGATATTAGGACGGAAAGGGTACTTTCCAAAATGTCACAGAGCAGTTGTGTTCCTTGAATCTGAGAGCCATAGGAACAACTTCCTTGGCTTCCAATAAACAAAGAACCCACAAGCAACTAATTCTCTGGAACATTAAAACAGCACCCACCAACAACTCAGGGCCACAAACAGGCAATTCTTTGTTTATGTAATTTTCTGGAGAGAAGAGATCAAAGCCAGTCTAAATTTAAAAGAAAAAGTGCATTAGCAACTGATTAGCAACTATCAGTGCCAAAAACAAAGTCCTTTTCCAGCATTGCACTATTTAAAACCTCCTATCATTTTTTCTAAGCTTGCTACTATGTGCTTCTGGAGAATGAGAGGAGCATCGAAATCTGGGTCTGGGAGCCGCTGAGAAAAGTTCATAAATAAAGGCAGATGATGTTGACATGAACTTTCCTCCCACCAAGGGAGGATGAAGCTTGACCTTGTTCTTCATCGTGCATTTGAGTGTTTGGAAAAAAAAGCCTTTCAATTTAGGAAATTCATGTTTTCCTTTATATTTCCTCTGTATGTTTCAGCAAATCACATTTGTTAAAGGATGACATGAAGACCTTTTGCTAGTTTTTTTTTTCAGAATAAAACTGTTTAAAGAATAGTAGGCATGAAACAAAGGGTAAATTGGTAAACACTAGTTCTTCCAAATGTGCAATGTGACCACATTTTGTTAGTCTCTCCTTTACTGTTACTGAGAAATGAGTTAATTATTGAGAAGAGAAAGACAGGTAGGAAATGGATAGGAAAAAGGGACCTACTCGTTTTAAGATTATGTGTGAGAAGGGCATTAGGCATAGTGAATGTATAAACTTTCCTGGTCAATCTACTATAAGACTTTCCACAAAGCAAGGTTTCCTTTCTGCTGTAGCTTAAATTCAGATCTGACCACTGTGGACATAAGGACCAATGAAATTATTCTAGCATTCTACCCTTTCTAAGCATAGATGATGATTACACAGTTATCAAAAATGTTTGACTCAAGACCCCTTAAATGCATTGTTAAAATTATCCAGAATCTCAGTGAATTTTTGTTCACATGGATTATATTTACTTGTATTCAGCATTTTAGAAATCAAAATAAAAAATTTAAAAAGCATGCCCAAATATATTTTATTCAAGTAATATTTTATTTGTTAAATATATTTTATAAAAAGTAGTTCCTCCAAATAAGAAAAAAAATCATAGGAAGAGTGGCATTGATTCACATTTCTGCAAATTACCATCATGTCTAAAGTGTAGCTTAATCGAAGATAGCTGAGAACACATACTTGCTGCTGCATTCTCTATACTGGTCATCAGACACCAGCTACCCCACTCACTTGCAAGACAACGAGAGTGCAAAGGATAAATATCCTCATAGTGTAATGATGAAAATGAGGTTAAACATGTGGAGCCCTTGAGAGAATTGTAAAAAATATCAAACCACATATAATGAGCCACTAGCCTAAACAAATAAATCAAATTTAATATTTCACCACAAATATCTAAAATGAAGATGTAAAACTGTAGAGCATATACTTAAGAATTTCTTTTCTTGGATAGTCTGAATGGAATATTGTTGGTTTTATTTTTCTTTAAATACTAATCCATTCCATCAGACTATCCAACCCTATGGTTTCTATAAGATAGGATTTTTCTGACCTTCCTCTCTGCCCCTGTGTGTTTTATCCCCCAAAAAGGTAGGACAGAAATGCCCACCTGGGCCCAGCCCTCTCATTTTGGAGCCTATCTGCATGAAGAAGGACCTGTCCTCTAGTTCTCTTGGTGGGCCTGACTCCACTTATGCAATAAATAGTTTGACTATGAATTGTTCTGATTTGGGGATTCAGAAGAGCAACTTATGTGGAATGGTTTGAATATGTTTCCCAATACTGTGTCTACATTCTATCTCTGTTGGTTCATAACGTCGACGGGAAATGAGAAGTTATTTACTACATCCACTGAAATTGAGAATCTATGACTGAGAGAAGACACTAATAGATGAATTCTAGAACCTTCCACCTGGTAGCTACATGGCTCTCTGTCTCCTCATTCTATTTTGTGGGACCAAGATGAGGCACAAATATTCCATTTGGGGAGAGAATAGACCAATTTCAAGTGCTTCTGCTAGCAGAAAACATTGCACTACAATATTTTTCCATGTTTATTATCATCATAACTATAAATTGTTGTCTGGATTTATAATTAATATCTGAATTTCAAAAATCATATTTGTTGTACAATTATTCAAAGACTTAACTATTTTAAATACTTAAGTATTTAAGTACTTAAATACTTAAGTATTTAAAATAAAGTATTTTAAAACAAAGATTAATTTTTTTTAATTAATATTTTAAATAAATTAGCTATGTCAATTGCAGTAAACTTGGTCAAGGAGCAAATCTGGAAATGCCTTCTTATCAGCAACAAAATGAGGACTAATTATCTTTAGACATATAAAACCATGAAAATAGCCTTATGTCCTAGCTTCCTTTCCTGCTTTTGATTTATATTATTTAAAAATATTTGTTTTCTGCATAAAGCTTTCCTTTTCACCTCATGTTGCCTAAGAGTTTGAACTTGAGGTGAATTCATAATTTTGTGATTATGACATTCATTGGTTGCTATGGGAACATCTATGATTTACTAAACAGAATCATAACAATATGGCTTTGTACTACTTAGCATTTTTCATCGGAAGATTAAAAAGTATTTTGCAAACAGCATCTCAATAATCCTAGCAACCTCCTTGCTAGAATGTTTGCAATTGCAGATCTTCTTTTCTTTTCTTTTTAAATTAGAAAAACTGAGACAGAAACAGAGGCAAGATTTTTACCCAGATATCTATTGTCCACATCTGAGCTTTGACCAAGATCCAAGTTTTACTCACAAAAGCCAAGTAGCATGTTACTGTTATTTTCTTATAGAATCACAGAGGTGTGATTTTTGTGCTACATAGAAAATTATACTCCATACAAGCATCTCTCATGTCTGAAGAAGCTGACCACTACATTCATTTCCCCTTTTCCTGTAAGCTTTACAATGTGTGTCTTGAATATATAAGAAGCATCCTTAAAGATCAAGAAAAGTGAACAAAACTCTGTGAAGCTATTTAAAATGTTAAGGGAATATTCTTGGACGGCTTTCTACAGGAAACAATCCTAAACTAACAAGGAGACTGTGCAGCTGGATTAGCATCGGCAAACTTTTCCTGCTTTGATTTTCACGGTCCTGTAATCCATACCAGATGTCAAATCCTGAAATTTGGAGTTCAGAATTTTTGAACTAGTGTCTCCATTGAGATCATAAACACATTTTAATGGGGCTGCTAAGTCACACAACAAAACATATTTTTAACAAATCTTTTTTTCCATTTTTTAGAAAAGAAAAACAAAGTGAATCCAATATGAATACAACTGTGGATATACCTTTGAACCACTTCACTTGGGGTGGAGGGACCCCAGAAGTTTTGCATTCCATAACTGTTGTATCCCCAAGAGCAACCAAGAGTTCACTCTGGACTACCATCAACTTTGGAGCCTCTGAAAGAAACACAAGTACACAACTAGTCATCATCAAGTACAAGGCCATGTGGATCTTACATCTTCTAAATGAATCAGTGGAAAAGTTACCAGTAGTTATGTGTGCATGGCTCTCTCAGTGTTTATAAACAGAAAGGAAGTCTTATAATGCTCATGCTTAGCTCTGTATATATGAAAAATCATTTAGCCCAAAAAAGGATATTAAACAAAAATAATGGCCAAAACACAAAATAATTATTTATAAAACAAAGTCCAAAATGTATAATTTTTTAAAAAACCTTATTAAAACGAGTGTAAGAGAAATAAAAAAGCTTAGTGATTTGAGTATGTATCATATGATATTAAAGGAACACACAGGGACACAAAACACAGTGTCACTGGGCACTGCTGGCTTATACCTGTAACCCTAGCCACTCAGGAGACTGAGATCTGAGGATTGCAGTTTGAAGCCGGCTCATGCTGAAAAGTCTGTTTTGTCTTCAATTAATTACAAAAAAAACCCCAAAAAACAAAAAGAGACAGCATCTGGACCCTGAGTCTATGCCTCGGTACCAACACACACACACACACACATACACACACACACACACACACACACACACACACAGAGTCCAAAGAGGGATGATAATGGCAGCAAGTTGTCTAGTGTAAGACTTGAAGATAATACCAATGTATATGGATTCAACAATGACATCTTTATTGATTTTAAGTATATTCATGACCAATTATCAGAGATATCTGGAGCCCAAGCCTAGCATTTCCATCTAAAAGAAGTAGAGTCTTTCAGATTTGTTCTACTTTTTCCTATAATGCTAAATATAGATGTTTTCTTTTTTGGGGGGGGGGGTCCCGTCGTGGTGCCTGAAATCTGGGCCTGGGCGCTGTCCCTCAGCTCTTCAGCTCAAGGCTAGCACTCTACCACTTGAACCACAGCGCCACTTCCGGCTTTTTTCTTTTTGCTTATGTGGTGCTGAGGAATCAAACCCAGGGCCTCAGGCATGCAAGGCAAGCACTCTACCACTGAGCCACCTTCCCAGCCCCAGATGTTTTCTTTTTAAAAAACAATTTTTATTGTTATTGTAGAGTTGATATACAAGAGACGTTACAGTTACATGCATCAGGTAATGAGTAATATAGATGTTTTCTGAAACAACACAGAATATGTTTCTTTGGGATCTCTCTAATGCAATTTTTCCTTAGCCTCGTTTGTTCCACTCCTGACGAGAGAACATTTTCCCTCAGTTTACCTAATTTTCAGTAATGTCATTTTAAACAAAGCTAAGAGTAAATGTCTCAAAGATCATGTCCTTGCTCTACATTTTCAGTGATCTCCTCTGCTTTCACAATACCATAGTTCAGTTTAAAACAAAAAAATCACATACTGGTGCAGGTTTCTTTTCACTATAACTTCCATTATATTTCCTGTCTTTTTCCAACACAAGACTTAGAGATAAAGTGGCCTTGGAACGCACAGCACACTTAGCACTCCTATCTCCCAGCCTTTGCCATGTTTCCTTCCGGAAATACCCTTTGTCACAACTCCTCAAATTCCACCCATTCTTTCAAACCTCACTTAAACCCTGTCTCCTTTGGGAAATCTCTGTAGATTCCCCAGTCAGGATTAATCTTCCCTTCTGCCAGCCTCACACTGTCTGCTTTGTTATATTTCTTTACATGTCCCCTCATGGCAGACAGCCTCTTGAAAAATAAGGGCTTGTTTCTATGCTGTCTCCAGCACGACATTTTTGCACACATGCTCCACATACTTTTATAGTGCATAAATGTGTTGAATATTCTGTCTTCCATGTGAATGAACCAAAGTTTGTTGCTACAAATACACAATTTGGTTTCAATCATACATTTCACATCCCTATTTGTCTGTTACCTTTCTACTTGGGATCTGTGGATACTTTTAATTCAACGATCTCTGATAAACCTCAGCCCATTTTCCCTTATAAAAATTGCCCAAGTGCAATCTCTTTTCTTTTCTTCTTTTCTCTTTCTTTTTCTTTCTTCCTTTCTCTTTTTTCTTTCTTTCTTTTTCTTTCTCTCTTTCTTTCTTATTTCCTTTTCTTTCTTCCTCTTCTCTTCTCTTCTCTTCACATGCTGGTACTAGCACTTGAACCCAGGGCTTTATCCTTTAGCTTTTTCACTCAAGACTGACACTCTACCATTTAAGCTACAGGTCCACATACTACATTGGAGATAGAAGTCTCATAGACTGTTCCTACCTGGCTGGCCTTAACCCACAATCCTCAGCTCTCAGCCTTCTGAGTAGCTAGGATTACAGACACGAGCCACCAGCTCCTGGATTTCAAGTGCATGTCTTAAAGTCACTCTTTTCCAGGCCCTCAGGCCCAATGCTCATGATACTTTGTTGTCTCCCTCACCTACACTTGCCTACTACAGTCTCTATTCACATCACTGTTGTTGTACACTTCTTCCCTCAGCACTTCCAGCTTTATTAACTACAATGGATGAAGTTAAATCAGTTTATTTATAATTACAATTTATGGGGCTGGGAAGGTAGTTCAGTGGTAGAGTGCTTGCCTTGCATGCATGAGGCCCTGGGTTCAATTCCTCAGCACCACATAAGCAAAAAGAAAAAACCCGGAAGTGGTGCTGTGGCTCAAGTGGTGGAGCGCTAGCACTGAGCTGAAGAGCTGAGGGATAGCACCCAGGCCCAGAGTTCAGGTCCCACGACTTGGACCCCCCACCCAAAACAAACAAAATAATTACAATTTATATGTATTACTTAACATTTACAAGCTGACACTGAGATTATGATGTTTTCATACTTTAAGATAAAGATCAAATTAAATAAATACTCTATGTGACAATGATGTCACAAAGTATATCTTCAAGGTAGGCACACACCTGAGCCACATCTCCATTTCTGGCTTTTTATTGGTTAATTGGCAATAAGAGTCTTAAGAGGCCTTTTGCCTAGGCTATCTATAAACTATGATCTTTAGATCTCAGCCTCTGAGTAGTTAGGATAACAGGCAGAACCCACAAGCACCAGGCTAGTGTTTTGAATATAAGTAGAAAATACGAAATGGAAGTTAAGGTAGATGATGTAGAACATAAAGAAGAGAAAAGCACAGAAGGAAACACTCTGTGGACAACTTGGACTTTTTCAAAATCTGGGAGCTCTTGAATTCTGTTGACTAATGAAACTATCCAGTCCTGAAGTTTTTAACTTAAATTAGTATTAATTTTAATCCATGTGTAACATGAATAATAAATTATAGTATTAGGAAAACTGTATTCCTAACATTAATTTTCAGAAAGACACTTTAAATTGCACGATACAAAATTCATCCCATTTGAATTTCCTATTAAAGGGATGATACTTGCCAATGTATCTGAGGATGGAAGTTTGTCTGTCAGTTCCAGCTGCATTACTTGCCAGGCAGCCATAGATCCCTGCATCCTTTGGAACTGCATTTTTGATAGCTAAAGTACCTTCTGAGGACATTCTGTACCTGTGTGCAAAACAAGAAGAAAATAATGCTGATATCACAATATCACAATAGTAATATCAAGATGTTAAGGAAAATGTGTTACAAATATACAGTGGAGAATTATCTAGCATTAAAGAAAATGAAAGTATAACATTTACAGGAAAATAGATGAAACTGAAGACCACCATGTGAAGTGAGAAAAGCCATGCTTAGAAAGATAATTCTCACAAGCTGTTATTCACATTCTCAATCTAGGCCCACATAATAATAATAATTACTACTATTATTATTACTATTATAATAAAGAGGGTTTTTAGGAAAGGAATCAGTGGGAGGAGGAAGGGGAACAAGACAGGTGAAAAGGAGTAAATATTATAGATTTTCATTACACACACACACACAAAGATATGCTTAATGAAGTCGACTAAAACTGTTTAAAAAGAAGAGACAGAAGAAAAGGAGACTATAAAAGAGTAATGTAGGTGGGTGAATGTGATCAATGATAATCTTTTGTATAATTTATGCTAATAAAAATTTTAAAAGATACTATAGCACCATTCTTTCTAACACTTTTCAAAATTTTAGAATTATAATCCTGGAACTGATTGAAGAAATGACTAGCATGATCATTTTTACAAGGAGAGATGTAATAATAATAACTATGATGATGACGATGATGATGATGATGATATAGATACCACATATCCAGACCTGGCTCCATGTCAGAAGACAGTCTAGGAACTTGCCATTTGTTAACATTTTGGCCTTCTTAACATGTCACTGAGTTAAACAATATTAGTATGGACATTGTACCGATAAGCAAGAAGCTTATATACCATGCAAAATCAGAGTCACCAGTGGAAATTTTGGAACTGCATGCAGGCAGTCTTATTCCTTGTGGTAAACTGCTACGGTAAAATGTCCTCAAAATAAAATGGTGAGACATGCAATGGCTGGCGTCACACAGCGAGTCTGTGATGAGTCTGGGAATAGAATCTGGCTCAGCTTGCTGGATCATACCTAAACTCTCCACTCTGTGCCAAACCCAGGATAATAGAAGCCTGATGGCTGGAAACTTGGTTGCTTATGCTCTACATGTTTATTAGTCTCTGCACATGAAAATAAAAAATACCCAGTAGAATAAAATGCTTCTTAATGTAATATGGCAAAGTGGAAGGAATCACTAAGGATGTCCTCACACCGTAATTAGAACTACTTTTGAGTTCTGTTTCTCTCCCTTCCCCCTCCTGCCCCTCTCATATTAAGGCCAGGAGAACTTTTCTAGAAGTTTATTATCCTAGTTTACTCAACTTAAAACCAAGTTCCATAGTACAACTCATATATTGTTTGTTTTCAGCCTATTTAAACTCTTCAAAGTCACCACTGATGTTAGAAACTATAAAACTAAGGTGTGCATCCAACTTTCTTTAATACTAAGGATTCAGTCATATTTGTTTGGCCCTGAAATGTCATCAACCTCCTTTCCACTCCATAAAAACAAAGAACATGATACAAACCCAGTACCTGTGTGAACCCACTAGAAACAGATCGTTCATGGTCCAGGCAATCTTTGGTTTGGGGTAGCCTGTGGCTGAACACATGATGGACACCTCAGATCCTCCTGTGAAAGACTGATTCTTGGGCATCACAGTGACTTTGGGTGGTTCTGAAAGTGGAAAGAGACTTATGTAGTGAAAGGTCCATTTATGTTGACACTAGAAGATTCGTCTACCAGCAGATTTGTAGGTTCTCAACCACCATGCATTCATTGCTCTCTTTGCAGATGGTCCTATTAGCATCTGGCCCTATCTGAGCAAAAAAAAAAAAGAAACCAAAAGTAATGAAGGCAAGAGTTGGAAACATGCACTGAAAATCAAGCAGGCTTGATGCTGATGGTGTAATTGTTTTTCTGTGTCTCCACCTGCTACCCAAAGCCTCAAGCTACCTCAATCTACCAATTGACTGGCAGTTTCTATCTGCTGAACTGAATCGTCCATATAAGCCCATTTCTAGGCAAAGTGTCCAAAGAAGACATTTGGTTGGTTTGAGACAATGAGTACAGTTTGGAGCAGTTATGCTGTCTGTGTTATTGATCTTTCTCTTTTGATCTATTAAATTGAGGTCAGAGACTAGTTCTTCATATCATCCTATAACCCATTACTGTCTGTAGAATGTAATATCTCTTCCACTGTGGGCAGTGGCCAGAATACACAAGATACTTAAAACTTGATGGAATGGAAGTGACTCTTAAACTGAAACTTAGCTTTGAATTGTAGTAACTGCCAGTCCCTCTCAAGATCCTACGCTAGTGATCATTTACTCTCACCCATAGAGACATCTGAAGTCAGGAATTTATTGTCAAAAAAAAACTTACAAAATTTTAGAGTAACTGAGATGGTAGCACACAGTTTTGGTTTTTGACTTTCTTCCTTTACTATACTGGCATTTGAGCTCAGGGTCTTGTGCTTGCTAGGGAGGTACTCTGTCACTTGAGTTGTACCCCAGTTCTATTTGTCTGGGCCAGTGTCTCTTTACGTATGTGGATGTGTGTGCTACTTCTGGGGCTTGAATTTAGGGCCTGGTTGCTGTGTCTTAGCTTTGTCATTCAATGCTAGTACCCTACCACTTGAGGCACAGCTCTAAGTTTGGCTTTTTGATTATTAATTGGAGATAGGTGTCTCACAGATTTTCCTGCCCAGGCTAGCTTTGAACTATGATCCTCAAATCACAGCCTCCTGAGTAGCTAGGATTACACGTGTGAGCCACTGGTACATGACTTGGACCAGTCTTTGTTCCTGATCCTTCTACTTGTGCGTCTTGCGTAACTGGGATTACAGATGGAACTATCATGCCCAGCTTTGTTGCTGAGAGGGTATGTCATTAACTTATTGTCTAGGAGGCTCTCAATGATGATCTTTCTAAACTCTGCCTCCCCAGTAGCTAGGATTAGGCATGAGCCACTGTGCCCAGCTATGGGAATAATTGGTCTACTCCATTTATCCATATTACATCCACATAACTAAGCACCAACAATCTTCAAAGCAAATGGCATCAAATGAATACTAAATAATTAATATAAATATCCACTTGATAAATAAAAATAAATCCATCCCTCCATTGGTTGAAACAGACTAATCCCAGGAATATTAGCAGAATTAAGTAAATTCATTGATACTCTCTTTTGTTTGTTTCCACAGTTATTACGTGCCTGTCTCTGTGCTTAAGAGATGCACTACAACAAAGAGATAATCTTATAAATGCATTAGAAACACATGCATGAAAGAAAAAAACATGCTTTGTATGTCCCTTCCCCACAGTATAACCCCTGCTTTCACTATATTTGATGTCAGTATAACTTGAGGAGGAGATGGGGAAAAACCAGTTGTTTAAAGATACAGGTGGACCTGTTGCAACAATGAGAAGTACAAGTTGTCATGTCCAAAACGAGCTTTACAACGTTGGTGCGGGGGGGGGGGGGAGGAGAAAGATTGGGATTGGGGGGAGGGAGGGGGGAGGCTGGGAAGGGATGTGAAGGGTAAACAAAAGGAGGAGGCTGCAATGTTTGGTAAGAAATGTACGCATTATCCTGCCCATGCAATTGTAACCCCTCTGTACAGTATCTTCACAAATAAAATAAAAAGAATTAAAAAAAAGAGATGCACTGATGAGGCAAACACATGCCATTTGCTCTCCATTGAAATGGCATTTTATTCTAAGTGAAATTGAGAAATTTAGTTAGCCACTGGATATGTTCACGCTGTTTCATTACTATAAGTTAGCGGGCAAAATTCTGACTTCCTTTCACTAAGAACACTTAGTCCAAGGACTTCCACAGAAGTTCTCATGCTAACGGTAGCAGCTACACAACGGAAGAACTCTAATTAGTGCCTAATTGCTGAAGCTTACAATCACCCTTTCCATTTTTGTTTAGGAAAACAGTGCATTTTTCAACTCATGATCTAGTCTTTGAAGTGAAGGTTTGAAGAGTCTTTCCGGTCTAGGGACTTAGTTGATAACCTCATTATTCCACAAATTTTTTCTTCTTTTTTTTTCCTCTCCCTAGGACTAGAGAAATGGATCAGGTCAAGTGACCAGTAAGTTCACATCTCAACTCCATCTGGACTCTATCAAGTCTGAGAAGCTGAGGGCTGTAGGGAACTTCCAGACAATCTTCTGGGGGTGAGAGGAAGAAAACCCCACAATGCTTTCTCCTTGGAATTTATCAAATGCTCACATGTATTCAGTCCCACCTCTCTCAAATAAAATGTTCTTTAGGTCTAGCTCACATTGCCAGGGGATTGCTATAAGGATCCAGGAAGCTCTAGGGATTTCTGCCTAAACCCCGTGCCTTCCAATGGAGTCTGCCAGAATAGGCTTGGCTTCTCTCCCAGCAAGAATCCCACTGGTAGACTCTGTAGTTCAGATATCAAAGTGAAAATAAATGTCAGCTACCCAAAGCAGGATGCAGAGAGCTCAAAGGTTACTGAACAAATAAAGCCTGGATATAGGGTGCTGCTCAGGGTCATGAAGTAAGTCTGAGTCCGGCACACAGATGGAATGACTTCATCCTGCAGAAGGTGAGATATTGACCACTGACTCCCAAAGACTGTTCCTGCTGATGATAAGAAAACCAGAAAGGACACAGACAGACAAACAAAACTCAACTGCCACCAAACAATTGTACAAAGATGGTCAAAATAAGCAGACTTTACTTACATGGGTTAATAAGGATGCAATAGTACCTATTAGGATTGTTTCCATGGCTCGTTTTTTTTTTTAATTCATGTGGGTGGGGAGGAACTCTCTGGTGTAATAAAGTAGCCTAAATGGAGCAATAATTTGACAGTGCAGGATCATTATTTTAACTCCATTGGTGAACTGCACTCATTTGTCCATGGACAAATCAAGTCTATATCTCCTAATATACAGCATCAAAATAGAGTAGTGACATTGGATTTAGAATTCCAAAGTCCAGTTTTAGATCTTGGGAAAAATAATCTTCACTTGAGGTTTTCAATCTTACTGCAAAAACCTCACCAGCATCACCATTATCATCATCAAGGGCACCATCAACGTCAGCATCATCATCCTCCATTATAATTTGCTTTCAATTAGCTAAAACAACCTAAGAGTGCCATTCACCAAGAGTCAGTGGCTCAAGGCTCTAATGCTAGATACTCAGAAGGCTGAGATCTGAGGATGGAGATTTGAAGGCAACCCCGGCAGCAAAGTCTATGAGATAACTTCCAAAAAGCCAAAAAGTGGAACTATGGATCCAGTGGTAAGAGCATTAGCCCTGAGTAAATTAAGAGCTCAGGGGCAGGACCTAGGCCCCAGGACTTGTGCATAAAAAAGAGTGCCACTCTTGAGCCAACAAGGCACTGAGACTTGTAATAAATGCAGAATACATTTTAATAATTTTGCCAACAATTGTAAATAATTAAACATAGGCATATGTGGTACTGAGAGTTAAAAAATAAATACTTTTAAGATGAGCATTTTCCTACACTATTAGTAGTGGCCCTAGAGCCAGCCACCATCCTGCCTATAAAGATTAGGGAAGAGAGGCCAGAGCCTCTCCTGCAAATGCCAAGGGTGTCTGCACTGGAAGGTATATTTACTAGGAGCTGGACTGATTTGTTCACTTTGAATCCCTGGTAGGAAATTCTCAAAGATAGAACCTAATGACTTTCTTAGCAGGGGGGTTTAATCAGCACTGACAAAGTACTCAGATAATGCTATGCTATTAACCTTGAGGCCACTGTTTGCAATATTTTCTACCACAGGAAACTTTCAGTACTTGAGATCAATTTCTCTGTGTTTTCATTCCTTCAAACATTTACTGACAATCTATTGTGTTGCACACACTTTGTGTTCCCAAAGATTTCAGAGTATACTACCTGGAAAAGTATATTATGTAAAGTTAATGATTATAATTGTTTCTAGTAGTCAATGCACTGAAATAAAAAGAAAAGCTAAATTTCTTTAATGTACATCCTAGGTAAGGTACCTAACTCTAAATCTCTTCTTCAAATTAACAACAACAACATCTAAGGCTCAAAAAGATTTAATAACCCCAAAAAATAAGTACCAGAAAATGGGTACTTTAAAGATGAAGGTTGGACCAAGGGACAGACAAATGAAGAGGGGAAGGAGTGAGGATACAGTCAAGTACATGCCATAAAATCAAGAAAAATAAGGGGTGGATTGAAGGAGGGTGAAAATACTGCAGGTGTCACACACACCAAGATGCTTGTATACATAAACTACTTTGTTAATTGACAAAAAATTTAATCGATATCTTGGAAAATTATGAAAAGTGAGGAAAGGGGGAGTCTAGAGGGTTGAATGAGAATGTTAAAAGGGGTAACATTTAAATTAATAGATAAGAAGTAAAACTCTCCCTCTTTGCAGATGACATGATTTTGTGTTTAAAGAATCCTATGAAAAAAATTATGTTAAGTGAAGTAAGTCAGGCCCAAAGAAACATAGGTCCCATGGTTTCCCTTATTTGCAATATCTAGTATATGTCTGAGACAAGCAGAAAAGGTCAGATAAGTTGATGTTAGGGAAATGAACCCTAAGATATGTATTCAAATGTTTTTTGTCTTTCATGCGATTGTTTCTAACACATTTATAAGATGATTTCTTTGTTGCTTTGTATGT